TTTTGTATTATAATATACGGAAGGAAACAAAAAGCATGTAGTACTATAATCCCGTTGAGTTACAGTTGACAGTTGGATTAACATATTGTATCCGTTCAAAGGAGGCTACACGATGCGTTATTACTGGTTTGTAACCACGTGACAAGGCGGCCATGTCCGACATGGCCGCCTTGTCACGTGGTTGTACAATATAATTTTTTCACGAAGAATTTGCATGAAAATAGAGTTTAGTTCCAGAGGAGCGAAATGCTTTTGTTCTTGACCAATAACATGGCCGCCGTGATGTCACGTAAACTAGCAATTCAGCCTTAAGGCTTCTCTTAAAGTTCAGTAAACGGTCAAGTAAGGATTTGAGTCAAAGAGTTCAAAGTTACAACACCGTTTGATAGAACCTAAAGGCTAAATTATTATGATCAGCACCACCGCAATGTAGTGCAAGCAGGTCACCTAAAATATTAACAACTGGCCTTAGCTGTTTGAAAGGTCGGTAAATAGTGTTATATACAGGGTTCTTTAGGATGATTTTTGGGTGGAGATGTGCCGTTGGGACCCTTGAACTCTTAGCCTATACCAGAGCTAGTTCAGCTAAATTTTGCTACCCTGCACTAGAAGTTACTTCCCAACCCCCTTACCCCCCATCCTAGAGTAGGTGTTTTCCAGAAACTACTGAGAACACTAGCACAGTCCAGCCAAAACAAAACCGATTTGATTTTTTTATATTTTTGAGTAGGCTCGATTATCAGCCGCTGTTCGGGAAAATGATCCAAGACCGGACCCGGGAGACGGCGGAAATCGAGCCTAATTTTTGAGTGGCAATTCCCTGTTTCCCTAGTCTAGACTAAAATCTTCAACCAATTGATCAGTTTCCGTGAAAATGATACCCTCTTCTAGACCCAAACTCTCTGATTTATATACCCTATCCTAGAGTAAACTGCTTGAAAACCATACCCTTTAGAGCGGCACATTCCTATATAGCCCATATATGGCAGTACCCCCCGCCCCCCACCCACCCCAGTCCCACTGGATAGCGCAATTGGTTTCCGGAACAGTTATTCACTGGATAGTGCTTTTCTCCGGTAGATAACACTATCCAGCTTTTGAACAACCGAGGCCTGAAGAGTGAGATCAAGTTTTAGTTTTTCTGATGAATCAAAGGTACACCTTCCTCGTGTCTTGCTCTCTTTAATCTGGTAGTGACCCAGTGAATCAGTTTTATTAAACCCATCATCAACCGAACGAACTGCGACATCAGTAACAAGGCAAGGAAAATGATAAGCGTTAATGGAATGACGCCCAGTAGAATCGCTTCGGCCCAAACACAGCGGTATACATGTTGTTTTTGAAGACCTTGATACTCAGTTCCTGCGGAGTAATACGATGCTACTCCGACATTTAATATTGCTATGACGACCAATGTTGCCAAGGAAACAGTCTCGGCTAGGTTGGCCAAGTACTTTGCAAAGGGTTTTGTGTGGAGGTGGTGTAAAAGGAAGATAAGACACGTGATGGCAAGGCAAACAGACCGTAGGAAGGTTTGTGTCATGAACCAACCAATCAGGATTAAGATAAATCGCCGGCCAATCAGAATGCTTTCCCAGTAGATCTTGCCTGGTGTTTGGTCGTCTTGGTTTTGCTTGGAAAATGGTGCGCTTAGAACTTCAAGGATAGAGGCCTCTAAAGAACATTGGAGTGATGTTTCACGATCCTCTTTAAGATCAACAATAGACGACTTTGATTTCAGTTCTTGGGAGAAAAGCGGCCACTTTAACGCTTTCTTTAGGTATACAACACCGGCATAAAGCAGGTATGGAAGAGGAAAAACGCAAGCCAGTAGAAACTTCTTCGCTGAAATTTGTCGCCGATGTAGGCGCAAGGAGCCGTCATAAAGCATGAATATAAAGGAAAATAAAAACAGAATAATGACTGCTATAGTGCTCTTTTGCCACCATTGATAGCACGTGATTTCCGCGTTGTAGTACCATCGATGCACGTGCTGTATTTCTACACAGTACAGTAGCCTCATTGTGGTCCCTGTCACTGCTGAGTACCCTAGCAACACGCTCTCAAGGTATGGACCTTTTAAGGGAAACACTGGAGTACGCTTGCGCAGTTTGTTACGCCCGCTGTGCAGAAGGTAAATAAACAGTATTGCCAAGAAAATTGCCATGACGACAAACACTTGAGTCAGTGTTTTGGTCAGCGGCGTGAGACCTGCAAAAGGGCAAATATTCCAGTCGCTATGAGGATATAGTTTAAAGTCGAAAATGCTTGTTATTGGAAATACAATCTTATCTGTTAATAATTCTCCTGCACCATATGATGGAACAGTCAACAGTCCTGCAACTTGATAAAAATAAAAGAGAATTTTCAGGTAACCGTGGGAAGAAAACGATGACGTAGCTATTGCTTTCTGTCCATTTTCCGATTTGTTGACGTCGTGGTAATCTTTTCGGCTGTTACTTGAGATGAACCATGTTAACATTTTCATTATCTTTTGAAAAACTGGAGGTTTACGGATAAGGTAAAACGCGAATAACATTGCGCAAATGAAAAATACGATCAGGTACCAGAGATGAGTGCATTCGTCGTCCCGAGCACAGTTAGTGTGGAATAACGCCTCGCTGAAATTCTCCTTACAACTGCCACAGAGAATCCCTGTCCGGTTACCTTGACAACCAGACTTCTGATAGCTTTCATTGTAGTAAGGGCAATTTTGATTGACAGCTGGGCAGCAGTACCCACGTGGGCACAACTGAAAATGTACCGAGTCACCCATGGGGTACCCCCAGAAATTTGGCCTTGCCGCCACTTCCTTGGTACAGTTGCCTCCACTTTACGTTGTGCCCCATTTTTAGACCTCTACTTGAGCCCCTTTTTATACTGTACGTGCTTATAGAGCAGGGCTTAGTTAGAATAGAGAACCATGTTACCCACGTGGTCTTCTTGTTAATGGTTTCCCAATGTGGAAAGTTATGGAATATCAGCTTGCTTCCTACCGGGGATTTAATTTTCACGGAATGGTCGATAGAAACGTTGTTTGCACCCTCAACAAAGATTAGACCTTCTCCGTCATAGCTGAGGGGATCAGAAATAAACGAGCTCTCGGTAACACTTACGTTTCCAAAACTTGTTACCTTTAAGAAGCCATTATATGGCTGCTCTTCTGTTGTGTTAAAGATGTTAGACTTTTCCGACTGGTAAAACTTCGTTTTGAAAATTGTTAATCTGGTCTGAACTGACAAATGAGATCCGTAGGCGCCTCCAAAGTTGTTTTTAAAAGAACAGTTTTCAATTCGGACTACATCAGCGTTAATTATTGATAGCGCGCTTTTTACGACACCAGAATTTCCACGAAACAGGGTGTTGTTCATGGCTACTATTGCACCTAAACTGATCACACTGGTACCCAGGCAATGGTCAGACATGCCAGAAATCTCTACCACCCCTGACTGGCATAAATTGTCCTCGAAGGCACTCCCTTGAAAACGCAAGGAATATGGCGATTGATTCATAGACACGTGGAAAATATTACTTTTCCCTCTGCAGTTGTTTCTTAGGATCGAGACGTTGGTTAGCTTAAAACTTGCGTTGCTCTTAATTCCTGCGTTGAGACTTATCATAAAGTTGTCATTGTCGCTTATCAAAGTATTCTCCAAGGATACGTCACCCGCATGTTGAAAGAATACCCCTCCCCCAAAGTTATGTTGAATGGTACAAGAATCGATCTTCAAGAACCCTCGGAACTGTACCAAAATGTCGTTTTGGGCGAGAAAACTGGCTTTGTTTTTAATAAACTTGGTGTTTTGTATTGTCACACGCGCTTGGGGTGACGTTGACAAAACTAAATGCAAGGTCCCTGTCTCTACAGCGCCTGAATTCCTAATGAATTCACAGTTAAGGAATAAAATGTCTTGATAAAGTGTTCCCAACACCATAACGTATAAAGCTCCAGCAACTTTGTGTTCGGCAGCATTTTCGATGAATCTAGTGTTTATCAGTATGAGATCTTTCATGTAATTCACATAAAGTGCCATGGCTCCACCCCCGCTAAGGCTAGGTGAGTGATCCACACTGTAAATTTTATTTCCAGTGAAATTTGAATCGTGAATATTGATAGTGGTATTGTTTAGATGGGAATCCATTGTTCCAACAGCCAACGCGCCGCCAGATGCAGCAGATGTACCAGAGCCTTCGTTTTGAATAAAATGACATCTTTTGATGTCCAGCTTTAGTAAAGTTAACTTAGTGAATGCGCATGCGCCACCGTTAATCCCAGCATTGGAGCGAAAAAGTGTCCTCGACATGAAAACGAGGGCTTCTCGTCTGAATCCTTTAACACTTAGGGCTCCTCCATCTCTATCCTCCATTGACGTTGCCATTTTATTTTCGAAAAACGTACTCCTAGTAATTTCAAGTTGAACCGAGTTTCCATCACGAATGTTGATAGCCCTGCCAATGTTTTGCCTGAAGTGAATCTTCGTTAAGTTTATGACAGAAGTGCCTCTGATGTCAATCACACTTTCTCTTACACAGTTATTGTCAATACTCCCCAACTTCATCTACATTATTATGAGTCCATTACTTCCCGATCGAATTTCCATACATGCTTTTCCAGAACAGTTGTTTCTTAAGACATTGATATTCTTTAAGTTAACTTGAATTTGAGCGGACAAGCTTTGCGGTGAAATACTCAGGAGCGCGCTCTCTAAGCTGTTCATATGGAGCTTATTTTCAGTGAAGAACGTATCTGTTATGTTCAAGTTCACCGAATCACCGCGAATCTTGATACCACTGCCACTGATGTTGTAGAACGTGCACCCAGAATAATAATAATAATAATAATAATATTTATAGAGGGAGCCCAACTCGCCAAGGCGGTTTTCAGTGGGGCCCTCATGCATAAATCTAACTAATTAATTAATTATTACGAAAAAGTAAAATATGTTTACAAGTAAAACAGATTTAAAAATTTAAAATCTTAAAATCGATTATACAAAAAATATCAAGGTTTAAAAATTAGCTGAGATCTTTTAAAAAAGTTTTTAACTTGGATTTAAAAATAGATAAAATGTTACACTCTTTTAAATCATTTGGAAGGCTGTTCCAGTCTTTCGCGGCGTGAAAAATAAAAGTTTGTTTACCCCAGTTTGTTCTGGGTAGGGGTAAGCGAATATCATTAGAGCGTCTTGTATTATATGAATGAACAGCTTGAGTTTTAGTAAAATTAAAGTTGAAATCGGTTTCTCCAATAAGACACTTGTGGATAGCAATGCAGCGATGAAAAAACCTTCTTGTGGACAGTGACTTCAGATCTAGACTCTTCAGTGCTTCAGTTGACGAGCTTCGGGGTGGTTGCCCCAGCATAGCTTTAGCAGCTTTATTCTGTAGAATCTGTAGTTCTGACATGATGGTGTCATTGTTCTTGTCCCCCCATATAACGTCTCCGTAATCAAAAAGAGGGAGGATCAGGGCATTGTACAAGGCAACTCTAGCTTGTAGCGGCAAAAGATTCTTGATTCTCCAAATTAGGCCTATTCTCTGATTAATCTTCATGCTGATAGCATCGACATGATCTGCCCAGGACATAGACTGTTGAAGCGTTACACCTAGGTATTTGAATTATTGTGTTCTTTCAATACTAGTGCCCTCTATTTTAACCGAAATGCCTTGAATACGATTCAGTTTCTGAGGACTTCCAAAGATAACAAAATTACATTTGGATATGTTTAGTGTCAAGAGATTTCTAGAGAACCACTCAGACACTGTCCCCAAGTCAGCATTGATGTGATGTTCAAGATCACTGACGCTTTTGGATGAGTAATAGAGTACAGTATCGTCCGCATAAAGAATAATATCGCTTGCCAGATGACAGTCCGGAAGATCATTCACGTAAATTAGAAACAATAAAGGTCCCAATATACTTCCTTGGGGTACTCCAATAGGCATTTCGGTAGATGCAGAGTGAGCATCTCCAACTGATGTAATTTGTGATCTGTTTGTGAGGTACGATCCAAACCACTGGGTGGTAGAGGTGGTAAGACCGATGTTGGTCAATTTTTGCAGCAGCAGGGGATGATCCACTGTATCGAAGGCCTTAGACAGGTCCAGAAAAACAGCACCTGTAAAGGAACCAGCGTCCATATTCTGGAGGATATTGTCTGTGAAATGAGCTAAGGCTGTTCCAGTTGATAACTTCGGTCTGAACCCAAATTGCTTAGATGTAAGGATACCATTGTTCTTAAGATAAGCGTACAGTTGGGTGTGCACGGCTTTTTCTAGAATTTTACTGATCGTTGGCAGCACAGTAATGGGTCTGTAATTGTTAGCATCACAGCGATCACCTTTCTTGAATAACGCTGCCACTTTTCCAAATTTCCAAAGAGAAGGAAAGGTGCGAGTTTCCAGGGAAAGATTAAATAATCTAGTAAGACTGGCACTGATTACTGAGGCTGAATCTTTCAGTAGACGAGCACTGATATTATCTAGGCCAATGGCTTTATTGGTTTTGAGCTGCTTAAGCTGACGAAGAACGAAGTCTTTCGTAATTGGCTCGAAAGCAAATTCATGGGGTAGATTCGAGTTTACCGAAGGCGCCGAGTAGATGTGGGATCTACAAGACTTGAGCTTTTGTGCCAGTTTAGTTCCAATTGTTGAAAAGTGTTCATTGAGAATCTTGGCGATAGATTTATTGCTGCAGTATTGAACACCGTCGGCCTCAATGCAGGAGATGGGAGTTCTTTCTTTGCGAGATGTTATGTCGTTTAGAGTTTTCCATGATGCACTTGGATTAGATTTGTTTTCAGTAATAAGCTTAGAATAGTATTCCGATTTACATCTCTTTGTCTCCTTATTTACGTAGTTCTTAAGTTCCTTATAGCGTGACCAATGATTGGCAGACTTTGTTTTCAGGGCTTTACGATGGTAATAATCTCGTTGGTGCATAGCTTCAGATAGCTGTGCGTTTATCCAGGGAGAACGGACCCCTTTAATTCTTGATTTCCTCATTGGAGCATGACTATCGGCGACATGAGTAAAAAGATTGTTCCAATCATTTACCGCGGAGTCAATGTCCTGCTTGTTTAGAGCTTGGTTCCAGTCAATTTCTTTCAAGTCATTCACAAATTCCTGCTTTGAATAATGTTTGTACGACCGATATTCGATGGTTTTCCCTGGAGCCTTGGGAACACCTGATTTGATAACACAGAAGATCAAACAATGGTCGCTTAAAGGTGATGGAATAACGCCTCGGTCAATAACACGATGAGGAGTGTTAGTAAACAATAAGTCAATCAGTGTAGATGACGTTTCCGTTATCCTCGTTGATGTGTTAATTACTAATAGAATATAATAATAATAATAATAGAAATACTAATAGTTCCAGTAAAACCACGTGAAAAATTAAGAGAAAAAGCGTCATTAGAACTATTAACAAACATGACCCCTGACATTTTAAGAGAACAATCGACAAGATTCAGGGAAGTATTTACGAAAGTGATTCCCTCCAAAAAGATACCGCCAGAAGAGCTGTTCCTGAAATCGCAAGAAAGTTGCAAGCTTTTGTTTCTACAAGCAACGAAAGCTTGAGTTGTGTAGCTGGCAATCGAAATACCGACTATGTACTGTATGTGCATTCTTGTGTCGACATCGCAGGGGTATGGATCACGTGACGTTCCCGACCCGTCGATGTTGATGACGTCGCCTTCGTGCGCAAGCGTAGTTGCTTGGTAGATATATTTACAAGGGTGAGACTTTACTAGGCCACAACCGTCTTCAACAGTTCCATTGAGTTTAGATACGTACTACTGACTCGCAGAGACACCTAGTATTGAGCCAAAGAAAAACACTGATAAAGGCATGTTTTTACCTTTTGCGTACCGGTATACTGTATACCACAGTCCATCATCCCAGAGAGTCCATCTCTTATGCAAGGCCTGGGTAATAGCGTCGAAGACATTCAGACTACCGTTATAGTTTCATCTTAAGCCCCCCTTCCCCTCCCCCCTTTGCGATATTTTCATCTTGGCTTGCTGGACCCTACGGTTGTTGGAATCTGAAGTTTATTCGGGCGTACTTTCTATTCAAGATATTTTTTATTCCAATTTTTTTGACTGTCCTGTCTTTTGCCTGACCTCTTATATGAGTTTGTCATACCACGCTTAAATGTCTGTGGGGCGATTACAACTTCCTCTTTAAAGACTCGGAGTTTATTTGGGGAAGGCTTTTTTGCTTCCGGTGCAGCGTTTCCCACTCCTGGCCTACACGTACTTTAAAAAATAAAAAATAATATAAAAGCAAAAAGAAATCTCTCAGTCTCCCCAGGCCCCTCTCCCCCTCTCTAAAAAAAACAAAATAGAAAGAAAAAAACAAACAAACAAACAAAAGGAAAAATTGAAAAAAAATTGGGATTTCTGTTCTGACGTAGCGTAACGGTGCTCTCCCGTTTTCTACGAGCCTGCAGGATGGTTCGTTTAAATATATATTTTCTGTTTTATTCTTTTGTTTACTTCTTCCTCGCCTTGCAGTAAGGATCAGTTTGATTTCACCTGCTGCGGTCTTTGCAAATTAACGCCGCTTGGCCTCTTAAAGCATTTATCCCTTTCAAACGTGGCTTATCAAAATACATAGACATAAGTAATCAGTCTACAAATGAGATCTACCCACCTAAAAGCCAAATTGACAACCAAAAGAACAGCCGAACATCCATTAGTAACCGATCGAGTCAACGAACTCCCTCCAAATAACATTGTCGATAATTGTTGCTTTTTATTTCTGGAACCGACCCACGCCGGAACTAGCCAGTTTAACATGAATGTTTCCCGATATAACAGGTAACTGCTGCCCGTTTTCCGGGGAAAACCTCGTCACGAGGACGGACCGAGGTAGATCACAAGACCGTAGATTCGGACCTCGCCCGGAAATTCTTTAACCGTAAAATCATGCGAGAAATGATAAAAATATAAGCCATATACTAATACTATTTTTATGGCACTTAAGTGTTATATCACTAACCAAGTTTAATACTAAATGGCGTTCTAAAAGAAGTTAGAAAATCCGGTTAGTGCACACCGGAAAAGGGACCGGAAGCTGGGTTCAAATAATGTAGGTCATTTTTCGTATTAGCTTATATGCAGTAAAAAACAAAGGATACTCAGAAGGCGTGGTTGCTAAACGTTCTGTTCAGAGTTGCAACTTGCAAAGAAGTACAATTTAGCTGTTTATAGGCTATGTGACGAGAAAATTTAAATGTTAAAGGGTAATTCTTGCAAGCTATGCATCCCTCTTTGGCGCCTCATCTTCATGGCGACTGCCTAGAAATTATACAGCAACTGCATCGCNGTGTTATATCACTAACCAAGTTTAATACTAAATGGCGTTCTAAAAGAAGTTAGAAAATCCGGTTAGTGCACACCGGAAAAGGGACCGGAAGCTGGGTTCAAATAATGTAGGTCATTTTTCGTATTAGCTTATATGCAGTAAAAAACAAAGGATACTCAGAAGGCGTGGTTGCTAAACGTTCTGTTCAGAGTTGCAACTTGCAAAGAAGTACAATTTAGCTGTTTATAGGCTATGTGACGAGAAAATTTAAATGTTAAAGGGTAATTCTTGCAAGCTATGCATCCCTCTTTGGCGCCTCATCTTCATGGCGACTGCCTAGAAATTATACAGCAACTGCATCGCTGTCACGAACAGGTTAATAGTTAAACGTGTTGTGCGGTAAACACGTGCCTGCTTGGCCATGTTCTTGTGCTGTATACAAATTTTTTTTTCGCCTTTCTTTGCAGCATCCTGTTGGGAATTCCTAGGCGAGTGCAATGATATCAAAAGAGCATTGAATAGATGTTTAAAAGAGGAGGTATTTATGTCTTTTTTATCTGATATCCATTTCACTTCATTAGTTGAGGGCCCGGGGGGGTACTGCCATTAATTGTCATAAGAAATTAACGGAAAGCTTGGACGTGATTCAGATCGCAAACACATTTGCTGGACGGAATGAAAATCGTATGACGAATTTCGGTATCTTCACTAATGCCGACCTATAAAGAGCAACAAATACTGGAGAAAGTATGCAAAGTCACGCGACAGAAACAAATCAAATACTATGATTTTATTCCTTTTTTCGATTTTCAATATGAAAAAATTATTTTCAATTGTCAGCCCTCCCACTTTTCACCTTGCTCCGCGGTCCCTGAAGAGATGTTGGCATTGAGATGATAACCTATTTACAAATTACCTTCTGAAGCATTGCTCTTTCTAGATGGCATGTCTGATTGTCAAAGTACTCTCTTTGACATTTTTATGACAATTTCTGTCAACAGTACAAACAACGGCAGAACATTCTGAGTACCTTTAAAGTCATGCCAAAGGGATTACTATCAGACTGCTGGAATCTTAGCATGTTTTGCGGGTAAATGGGTAAATTGTGAGGAGCATTGTCATAAATCATACTTACCGGTAACTAGTACGAGTCACAATTAAAAATGAACAATTTTTGGGACTAGAAATTGGATTTCTTTTTGTGATTACTTATTATGAAAAATGGTAACTACTATGAAAGTCTGAAATGTTACATTTACAGTATTACCATTGTTAATACTGTACTTAAAATTGTCTACAGATGTACTTATATAAATACAGATACATGCTCAGAAGAAAACCCATTCCAACAATTTTGGGTAATAATTATTATAGTTGGTCAGCAATAAATACCAAAAATATTTGGTAAAAAAACTAGTTTTGTTAGACCCTAGTAATGTTAGTTGTTGATGTTCAGCAATGTTCTTGCATTGTTGAGTCAGTTCCTGGGGTAGCAATATTGAACATTCTGCTGAAATAATATCACAACATTGTTGCCTGATATTTCTTGCAAATGACAGCAACTATAATCTTCAATCATAGGGATCCCTAAAGCTCTGAAACTATAAAATCCAGGGAGCATAGCATGTTTCTTTTGTGAATAGCTTACGTCACCAGCAGGGGTCATATAGCACTGCTGGAACACAGCCTTGTTGTTGTGTGAAGGACTTGGCTTAATATAATTGACAGTTATCTTGCAGTCCAGCGATCCTCACCGCAAAAAATAAATGTAAATTAAATGTTATTGATCATTAATTCTTAATGATGTGGCGGTCCATTGATGCAAAGTTGATTTTGACAAAGGAAAAGAATAACTTGGAATACACTTTAATATCTTGATATACTGGGTACCTTCTTTGAGGTTTAATCTACTGAAAATGTTATTGTAGTCTCTACGATAACTGAGAAGCCAAAGAGAGGCAATCAGTTTACTGCAACAAGCAGAAATTAACTGAATTTACTTTGCAAGCTTATTTTAATTTCTTTTTAAGTTCTTTTAATTTGTTAATATGTTCCTAGCATTCATTTCAATGTGTTAACTCAAACCAACTAAAAATTCTTCCACAATGAAGGACTGGCAAAACATTAGTTGGGCTTTTGTGTTGTTTTCTTTACAAGTATCCCAATGGTAAAGCAAAGTTTTATGGCTTGTTAAGAAAAATAACAGACTGAATACAGTTTGGGCTAGCTTCTTGGAGCCCCACCAGAGGCTAGTAAACTTAGTTAACGTCTTGCTCTTTGAGCAAGCTGATTTGATTTCCTTTTGTGTGTCTCACCTTGTGCAAACCTAGCACAGCAATGGGGAGACGTGTGAACTCTGTCAGTCTGAATCGTAGTATTGAGGCAGCCTATTAACTCAGCATTTATACTCTGGGTTCTTGCATCCTGCCAAGTTGTGTCTCTTTCAAAGGGTTTTTGTTGTTTTTTGTCCATTATTTTTGCAATACTATTTACATTTTCTTTTTTTAATGCTTATGAATAGAACATGGAGATACTTCTGGGTTTCGAAATGGAGAAAACTGGGGTTAACCTGGAATACTGAGCAAAAAATTTCACCCAAATACTGGATCACATCTTAATACAGGATACTGATAATGAGATCTATTGGTCGTCCCCACCTCCCCCTCCCTCCTCCCCCTCCTACCTCCCCCCTCCTCTCTACTGGGATACGTAACATGAGCGTTTTAAAGGCTCGTTGAATGAAGGCAGTAAAATAATATTCATTTTTAGCATTCACTGTACCACGGCAATTTGATCGGATACTTGAATGACTCACAGTCAATCAGTTGATGCCAACCGTGTTGGAACTAACTGCGTTGTCCTTATCAGCAGAATAGAATAATTTCGTTTACCATGAATAAGTTCGTCAAAGGATTTTTGTCTTTGCTGGTAAATGGAGCGAGTTTTACTCTGCATATGGTACTGCTACCAGGGATTGGCGCCGATAAAAGTGGTGCGTGCTGTAACATTTTTATTTATTTACAATGATTGATTTGAAGTGCTGGGACGATGAAGTGTTTGAATTTTGTTTTTGTTTAGACAGAAATTTTTTGTCCGATTAGAAAAAAGAACACAATTTACAAACATTTATTTCTTGTTTTACTACTGTATTTTTGTTCACTTATAAACCTATCGACTTGAAAATGGTCATCTTATTTTGGTTTCGCTTTCTTTTAGCCTGCGTGGCAGGCGCAAGAAGGGGAGGGAGAGGGGGAGGGAGAAAAGCACTATCCCCTACCCCTTTCGACGCCTGCTACGCAGGCTAGCTTTCTTTAAAAACTTTAGACTCTTGTTGTTATTCTATATTAATTATCAAAAAGTCCATCCGAGGAAGTAACCGCTTTTTAAAAAACATTGCGTGATTTTTCACACTTTTTACCTAATAAGCGACAGGAAAAAGAAAGGAATCGAAAACTTCATTCATGTTCGGTGCAGAATAGATTTTTTTTAACTTTTTTGAAACAAAATATGGTCCGTTTGCAAAAGTAACTATACTTTTCCGGAAGATTTGCCCAGCTTTTTGGGTATTTTTTTTTTTCTGTCCTGAAACAGCAGTGGAAAGAATAGAACCGTTATGACTGAAACTCGAGAACTCAATATGTAAGTTGATTCATGGAGTTAAGTGCTACGTCTTCTCTTTGGAGCACATAATAGACTGACACCTTGATGTAGCCACGATAGTTCTGTATTTGTTTTTTAAGTCACAGTTACTTCAACTCGTGTGACAAACTAAAATAATCAATCTAGTGCCTCTAGCTCTTTTGGCCACAAAATGCCAAAATAGTCAAGAGCCTATCAAAAGCAGATCGAATTTTAAGGCAAAATGTCGCTTTGGCTCTTTTTTACACGTAGGTCTGTACTGAATTGGTGGTAGGTCCAGGCCCTCATATCTATTCAGGAAGGGTTTTTTGTTTAATGGCAATGGCTTCCTTGACTCTGCGCCTGATGGTGTTGTTCGGACAATTACATTCATTGGCCAAACCGCCAGGTCCCTTCCCTTGTCCCCGGATCAAAGAACACCAGTCCCCTAATATTCTGCCTTTTTCGAGCATTACCAGGCCACAGGTCACAAAATCAACCCACACAATGTAAAGGTCTATCTGACGAAAACAACACCATCAAGAGCAGAGTGAAGGAGGCCATTGCTATTTAACAAAGGAAACCCCCCTGAATATGGATGAGGGACTGGACCTACCAGCAAGTTAAAATCCTCTCAACGCTGATGAAGTCTGAGTGATTCGGACGAAATATTCGTTTCGTACCTTATTTTTTTTCGCTCTGAGTTTTGGAATTTTCTGCACTAATTAATAATAATAATGATAATAATAATAAAAGAAGAAGAAGAAGAAAAGGGCAATTTAAGTACCTACTAGTTTTCGCTGAAATGCCTAAAAACGATGGTACTTACATTTATACAATGATACAATTACAATACTTGTAATCTGGATCTCTCGTTAAGAACAAGTACTTGCCTAAACTAAGTATTGTAAAATTTTGCGTGATTTTGCAAAAAATGCAATATTCTGCAAGCGCCCCGGCGCTCGTACACATCGGCCATTCTCGTCACTAGAGCCACGCCATCGGTTGGCTTACGAGGACCACCTAAAAAAACCGACGGGCCCTGAGGACGAGAATGTACACATACGAACAGAGCTGCGCGGACAACTGCGCGCGCGTATTGAACTCGCTAGAACCCATTTCGCTCATATTTTCCACAGGCGCAGTCAAGGCAACACCCACCGCCCCACCCACCAAAACACCGCAAATTCGCAAAACCACGGACGGCGATGATGATTTTGTGCATGGAATCATCGGTGGAGCCATCGTTCTTGGAATGATTATGATGATTTACGTATGCCACTCATGCTACATCCGCTTCTGCCGTGATCGACAGGATAACGCAGGCGCAATTCTTAACTTGCCAAATATGGTGCAGTTACCGTCCCAGTTTCCCGTCGGTCCTCCGTTTCTTCACAAAGATGATGGTATTACTTTAGTAACCCAAAACTGAACCACATTATTTTCAGTCAGTGGGAATGCAATAAAAAAGAGGAGAAATTCTTTTTTCCGGCCACAGGCTCTGCTGGGCCTCCAATGTCGTCAAACGTTCGAGGTGTTTTTTTTTTTTTCTTCTTTTCTGTTCGTTTCTTTGTTTTATTGACTGATATTTCATTTACTGTTAAGGGCAAGGGTGTATTAAAAAACTCGGCTAACGTAACAAACTGCCCATTGTTCTCAAAGTATTGAGCTTTTTTCCGTTAAAATTGCTGTGCACTTGAGTAAAATTATGCATACCTATGGAAAATCATCACTTAAATTTGTAGACTATTTATTGTGAACGTTTGTCGCCTCTGCTGACATAGTCAAACGCATAGGACAAGTGGAGGGTGGAGTCGGTGGGTACCGCGTGCTCCAGAAGAGCGTTGAGTTGGAGACTGGCGTGGAAGGAAAGGAGTACTACTGTTGGAGACTTCCTACTACTATAAAGCTTGAAAACTATCAGTAATTTCACGGAACGCTAGAAGTACTCCTTACGATTAATTTTCTTAGCATTTCGCATAGAGTGTGCCGCGTAAGACGATTAGTGACTAATCAAATTTAACGAGGAGTTCTCACTTAAAAGCCGCCAAATCTTCTGGATACTATCCCCCCTCAAAGGATGCTATGACAAGGGGAAAAAGGGAAACAATGCCAGCCTTAAAGACAGTACAAATCGCACAGCAGAACTACAGTTTTTCTCAATCCAAGACTTTTAATAAATACTATATACAATAATACATACACAAGAAATTCACAGCTGAGAAAAATTGAGAATTTAAACATGGAATTTTTGTACACTGTAGTATTCTTGCTTATGAAACTTGCGTTAGATTCATCCAAAAGAATGTGTTGTGTTCGCTGGCAAATTGTACTGAAGAATTACCGATTTTTTTTAGTCAAACAGTGATAAATACATATTATAAAGATAACTGCAGCACAAATTGGGCTTAAATTGGAAAATTTATACAATTTTACACCATAAGAAATTCATTGCCGCTTATTGACTGGGCCGAGTATCAGATTCAGTCGAAGGATTTCGTTCGAGTTGAACTTCTGAACTTCCTCTCTGCATACCAGACGGAGAAAGAAATCCGGGGATTACTGGCGGGTGTGTGACGGAAGGCATTGGACCATTAAGATGCGGATCACCAGGGCTTGCACTTTGCGGTAGCGGTGCCTGCAGTGGGGCTCTCATGCGGTTTCCGTACGGGTAGGAAGAATATCCTGGGATTACTGGCGGGTGTATGACGGAAGACATTGGACCACCAAGACGCGGATCACCTGGGCTTGCAATTTGCGGTAGCGGTGCCTGCAGTGGGGCTCTCATGCGGTTTCCGTACGGGTAGGAAGAATATCCTGGGATTACTGGCGGGTGTATGACGGAAGACATTGGACCACCAAGACGCGGATCACCTGGGCTTGCAATTTGCGGTAGCGGTGCCTGCAGTGGGGCTCTCATGCGGTTTCCGTACGGGTAGGAAGAATATCCTGGGATTACTGGAGGCTGCGTGACTAAAGACGTAATAGGACTACTAAAATGCGGATCACCTGGACTCGCACTTCGCGGCTGCGGTGCCTGTTGAGGGGCTGTCAAGCAGTTTCCGTACGGGTAAGAATACCCTGGGGTTACTGGCGGATGCGTGACTGAAGATGTAACAGGACCACTAAGATGCGGATCACCTGGACTTGCACTCTGCGGTAGCGATGCCTGCAGTGGGGCTCTCATGCGGTTTCCGTGCGGGTAAGAATATCCGGGGATTACTGGCGGGTGCGTGACTGAAGACGTAACAGGACCACTAAAATGCGGATCACCTGAACTTGCACTAAACGGTTGCTTTGCCTGCAGTGGGGCCCTCAAGGGGTTTCCGTACGGGTAAGAATATCCGGGGATTACTGCCGGGTGCGTGACTGAAGACGTAACAGGACCACTAAATTGAAGATGCGGATAACTTGGACTTGCACTTTGCGGATGAAATCCATACTGCGGGGATCTCAGCGTTTCACGAGGGAGGAGACTTTCCAAATTAACTGTCGAGTAAGTATGGGCTGATTCGCCAGGACCAATGAGATATGGATCATCTGACATCGTACTTTGTGGTTGCAATCCACGACGACGCTCTCCTTGCATTCCATGTGGGGGAAGAAATCCCGGGATTTCTCGCGGGTAAGTGACTGCGGAACCTTCGAGATTTAAATCACAGGGCGTTGTATTTTGGGGCTGAACTCTCTGTTGTGGTGGATCCTGCGTTCCACGCACGGGAAGATATCCAGGGTGAACCGGAGGAGTAAGACCATCTGTAGAAATGCCAGAACTGCGGGGATACGGGTACCCTGGAATTGTACTTCGCGGTTGCCATGCCTGCAATGGTGATTCCAGCACTCTGTGACGGAGGGGATGTTCACTGAAAGGCGCCAGGCTGTGGCTGAAGAAATGCGACGTAGGAATGGGAGCTCCTAGAGAAAATAAAATGAAAATTAAGATCCCATGAAGTAACATAAAGGTACAGTGAAAACGACTGGTTTCACACTTGTAGTCTTTAAGTAGATTTCTCCTTTTCTCGCATTATACGCTTTCTTAGGTTATTGTACAATATTAGAAATTAAAACAACGCCCACTTGAGTAAATACAAGAAAATGTCCAGTTTGGAGATATTAGAAGACAGACTGTAGGAGAAAAGTGCCTTCAGCCCCAGTAGTTCGAAAGGTAAATAGTGCTATTTACTGGGTATCTCACTATCTAATGCATAAAGGTATCGGGTTCTTAAATACTCATCATCTTGTTGGTGATTTTCCTGGTGGATAGCGCTATCCAACTATTAAAAACACCCGGGCCCTGTATCTGTGTATTGTAGTAAGGACGACAGAACCGTTTAATACAAGTTGCAGCACTACGTTAAGTCCCGTACATTGTCTTATTGGTACTCAAGTCATTCATAGCGTTACTAGCTTATTAAATTGTAGAATGTTGTTTTAGTTGTAACATAGATGGAAACCTTACCAGCAGAATGGAGAGGTACTGGAACTGGTCCTGCCGTCCCAGGATCGTGTGACGGCACGTCCTGAGTACTGGGGCACGTGTCCCTCTGAAAAAGGAACCAAAGACGGAATATTGGATATCAGTACGGAACCAAAGTAAACGTGTGATCTCCTGCTAACAATCATTTGACAGTTTTTAAGATCACTCAGCTAAGTGTATGATCTGTGAAATAATCAGCTGACCCTTTCTGTCAAAAGTTAACCCTCTCTAAGATGGATACCAACTCCAATTGTCCGTCTCAGAGTGGTGTCTGTGCCAAACTAGTATATAGAGTTTAGTTACAGTAGAATGATTGTAAAACTGCAGAGAAGAGACCAACACCCGGTGTCCGTCTTACCGGCAGAGTTTTCAGCCTAATAGAGAGGTTAGTTACAGGGTTGTACGTCGAGTTCTAACACGTTTATAGCCCAGCGAAGTTGAATAACTCTCCTTCTAACACGTTTTTTACTGAGAAGGCGCCTGTTCCATGATCTCTCTCTCGGTAAATATAAATACTAGCTCATGATTAAAAACAATTTCGTGAATGCAAACAACCCACCTCGGGCTCGTCCTGTGTGACTGTAGACGGGCCAGAACCTCTGAAAAGATACGAATCATAACCCAAGGATCCTCCAGGTGTAAAGATGGTGGACGGGGCACTGTGGTGATAGGTGTAGATAGCAGGGGAGGAGTAATTCTGTGGATACTGAACGTTATGAAGGGGGTTACCACTGAAGGGTGCAGCAGGTGTCAGACCGTGACTGGATCCATGTGCTGTAGGAATGAACGGCTCTGCTAACATTGGATCAGCTAAAGGAAGAATTAAGGGTCCCACGTTGGTATAAAGGAAACCATTGATTTCTGCCTGATAGACTTCTAGAACATTTATCATTTCTTAATGTTATCTCCCCCCCCCTCCCCCCCACATGTTTTACTACGTATTTTTAAATAATTACTACAAACAACGCTCACTTTAGGTAACAACGGAAAAAGTCGACATCGGAACAGGAGAAAGAGGATGTTTTCCTTTTAAACTTACTCAGTAACTGTTTTAACTATTAACATGTTTTTCGTTTCTGTATATGGCAGAAAGGCCTGGTCCGTTAAATACTCAAGCCGGGTAGTACTGGGTAGAGTACTTTTTTGGACTGTAAACACACTAAGGAATGAACATAATCCTTTAAGTCCAACTTCTTTCACCTAAATTACGGACGGGATGCGACAACAGCAACTTGTTGCACGCCTACACCGCAATAATTTAAAAGGAAGGAAATCTCACAAAGAAAACTGTCGTTTGACTGCAACGAACTTATGTACAAGTTCTTATTAGTGCTCAGGGTGTTAATCGCCAATAGGTTTAGTTACATCTGTGATTAGCAAGGCAAGGAACTGTGGGGGGGAGCGGGGGGAGGAGAGAGAGCTGGGGGACAAGAAACCTTACCAGTTGGATAAGGAGGCGCTGCAAATATTCCCACGGTGTCTTGTTCGTGAGCGAAGAATGGTGAGTCGTGAATACTGAGGCCAGTCTCTGCTGTAATCTGTGCGAGTGGTAAAATAAAACAAGAGTTGATGAGCCTGATAGTGGAGAGTGACACTTTCCACTATCTGAACGCCTGGAACACGATAGGAGTTGATAAGCCAATAAGATGGTTGAGCAAAAAAAACTCAGTCTACTGTTGACTGGTTTGATCCAAGCCTCAAGCTCCATGTTTGCTTAAAATACGTAAAAATACTCTACTACAGCGATAGCGGTGAAATTTGCAAGTCAATAAACATCTTAAAGATCCACATTTTCTCCCGGCTTGTATAAACTTCACGTACGAAAATCAGCAAGTTTTTTCAAAGTGCACGATTAAATCGACTTCCCGAAAGGTAAAAAACGTATGAAAGAAACTTCAGGTCGTTTCCAAAACCAGAAGTATTTCCGCAACGGATTGCAGTCCATTACAATATTGTTCGGGCAGTAACTTCCACAACTAAAAGCCATCGTTGTAAGAGAACCGTCGGTTTCGGTATGACTTAGTTCACTTCTTAAATGAAGTGAGCTAAGAGCCTGAGACCACAGAAATAACTTGTAATTGTTAGTAAGACTTATATTCAACTGCACTGTTTTGATTTGACTCAGTTTTTATGAAATCGCGACTAGAAAAAAACAACAGCCTGAAACTACTATGATACAAAACACAGTTTCTGTTCTCTCAGTTTCAGTTTATAATAAGTGAACTTCTGAAAAGCTGAAGAAAAACCATACGTTTTTAAACGGAATTTTTTTTTAAGTTTTTTTTTCCAAGAAATAACAGAACTTAAGAAATATTATACTCTATTTTCTTTTGCCAAAGTTGATGACCAACCTGTTGCCTTTGCGGCTGTGATTCATTTGATGAGTGAGAAAAGAGGCTCGGGTACTTCTTTTTCCAAAAGTCTTCTGATAGCCATTTAGGTTCAGGCAGGGGGTTATTTTCATACTGCAATAAATCACAAAATAACACTAGCACCATTCAACTTTTAAAGCAACGTTTAAATTACCGAAAGTGTAGTCTAGATTTTAAAACCTTTCTTTAAGTGATAAGCAATGAAAGGGTAAAAATAACACCAGGGGTTAACTGCTATGTGATGGGTACGTGAATGCTCATCAGACAACTAGAATTTTACCATTAACCCATTAAGCCCCAATATAAAAATACAAATTCTCCACACTAGTGTCCATACATTGCCTTGTAGAATTAGTTGAGAGAACTAGATAAAAGATCAAAGTACTTCTCCTTTGTTCATCAGTTTATTACTTCTCCTAACCTTTTCTTTTGATAATGTTTTGGTAAAAACCAAAAGTAGGTAAAATTGATGTTGATCACTCTTGGGACTTTAGGACCAATCTGAGTAAAACAAGTAGTACTATAGAAATTTCTGCTTGCGACAAAGACGTTTTTCTTCTTTAATTTAGTTATATTTAGGACTAAACAAGAGATTTCGCTCATTTTGCAATCCGTTCCGAGGCCTTATTTAGTTCAAAGTCTTAAAATCCGCATGCCCTAAACAGTAATTTTGTCCTGAATGGTCTTGGGAGTACCGCTGCGCTAAAAAACTTTCTTGTGAGTGTCTCAAAATTAAGGCTGCTTTTCACTAGCGACAGAGTCAGAGTCGGAGTCGTAATCAAAAGCGTAGACCTTATGATCTAGTGAAAACAGCGTTCGATTCCGCTTAAGTTCCTCTTATGATCTAGTTAAAACCAGATTGTCAGAGTCGGAAGCAGAAGCGGAAGAACCAAACCAATCACAAAGCGTGAGAAAGTGCATCGGGATTGGTTTATCCTTCTGCTTCTGCTTCCGATTCTGACAACCTGGTTTTCACTAAATCATAAGCGGAACGTAAGCGGAGTCGGAAGAAATGGAAACGTTCTAATTCTTCTGACTCCGATTCCGGCGCGCTTATGACGCCGCTTATAACCTGAGATCAGGCCCAATTTTAGCGATTCTCAGGCATTCTCTCTAACGGCTACCGCTAAAAAAATCGCCTTGCCCGCACGAATGTAATTTTCAAAGCGAAACGAAAACAGAGCCTGATCTCAGGTTACTGCGCTTATGACTCCGATTTTTGATTTTCACTAGGTCATAAGCGATCTTACGACTCCAACTCCGACTCCGTCGCTAGTGTAAACCAGCCTTTAGGTTGCTGCGCAAGACGTTCCTGATTTTTCCTTGTCAACCCCAAATTTCCGAATTTTTGTGCCCTTTGATAGTGATTAGAAATAACCTACATACAGAAAAAGCAAGGGCCTCACGAACTAAAGTTCTGTTGAAAAAAGGAGTTAAAAATACGAAAAAGAGGGGAAAACGACAAAACCAACAAAATATGCATCTCACTTCTTGGACACACCTCTAAAGGTGCTCGCAGCTTAAAGACCACATTCTACTTTTCAGCCCCTAAAATTTGCATGCAAGACTTTCAAAACAGCAAAATCAAATAATATACTCTTAAAATGTGCGAATTATTGAAACCTTGGAGCCCTTTCTTCTATTAACTCTTGGTCTAATAAAATTCTTACACATCAGTTTTTCCTTAGTGGGGGTTGGGAGGGGAGGCGCAAAAAAACCTGCGTCTCGTCTGAAGAAACGCTTGCTGCGCTGCCAAACGAAAGGCGGGAAAATTCTACCACGTGGGTAGTTATATAACCAACCAATCAGCTGTCGCTACGTCACAAGCCTTCTCTCACGCCACTTTGAATGACAGTTTGTTGATTTTGTAGTTTGCTTTTCACTTCAGTTGAGTTTGCTCATCAAAGAAAACTTTCAACGCAAAAATACTCAAGACGGACACAAAAAGAGTGAGAAAACAGTTTAAAATGCCAGTTACGAGAAAAATTCGTCTCATGTACTCAGGAATTTGTCAAAGGATTTGTGCAAGCTAAAGGAAACTACATTTATGAACTTCAACTCATTCATACAAGACACGAAGTGACGCAGGATTTGATGTGTTCGTCGTAAAACTGGAAAACAAGTAACCGACAAAAATAGACAGCTTGTACCATAGAGGAGTGCTTTTCCCTATGATTAAATGTATGGTGTTAAATCTCAACCAAAGTGTCTCAGAGGAATTATATTTTTTGTGGAACGCTATCTCAAAAACCTACGCTACAGTGAGATTATTTACGGGAGGACAAGCATTTACCGAAACGCAAGGAACATTCAAACAAAAGGACAGCTCTAAAAAGACTTCTTCGTTTTCTGGACTCTCAAAGAAACTTTACTTGAGTTTCGCTGATTTTACGAAAAACTTAGAGATAAAAGTGAAACTGTAAGTGGTAAACTTTTTTTCTCTTGATTTTTGCAAATTTTGTTTGTTTGAATTGTCGAACATGAACAGAACATTTTTTAATTTTATGCTTGTTATTCATCATTTTATAAAAAGTAATGAATTAAAATTGATTGAGAAATTAAAACTATGGAATTTTTGTGTTAATACATATATCACAAGTTTGTTAAGTGAGCTTATAACGAGTTGAACCAGACTCGAAGAGAAATTTCATATCTGCTCGCTGATCCATTATTTTGCACAGTGAAAACACTTTCCAGGTGATCTGGGAGTCAATCATTAGCCAATCAGCTTTGAGTATAATTTTATTTTAAAGCCGCACACAATTCTTTGCGCGCCTAGAGCTTGTTGGTACGAACCTGCAGCGTTGTCGCGTGGTGGAAAATGGTACCGTTGTTTGCATTCGAAGGCTTTTCCAGAGAAAGATTTGGCAGAGAGCGGAGTTAAGATTGACAACTGAGTCTTTTAATAACTGTTGACTTGTTAAAACGAGCAGCTAGAGAAGGATTGGATCTTACGGTAATCAATCTTACGACAGACGAGTGAGAGTTTTAATTGATCGACTTCTGTACTCTCTCACGCAAGAGCTGGTTAAATTTACTTTCTATTCCTGCATACATTTTAGTAACAAACTCGGCTTTGTTTGACAAAGGGAGTGCAGTCAATAGACGCAAACAAGCCAGCTGTCCTGCCCTAACTAACGTTGGATCCTGGAGAACAGGATATCGGTCCTCAAGAATTTGTTGGTCGTACAACACGTTATTATCGTAAACTGTGGCGAGTCCGCGATTTATTGCCTTCTTTAGAGACGGAACTTTTGAGAGTACTTCTTGCAGCTTGGCTGTTACAGGTTCTCTTCTACCGACCATGACTAGTTCTATTCTATTTGGCGAGCCTCCTTCTTCTACGTGCATATTTTCCTCCGTCCATTTCCCACCTCCTGTCCTTCCGTTCTCCCTGTCCTTGGTGTGAACCTTCTTTTCAAACTTCGGCCTCGACTTAACATCCATCACTATCGAATTCTCGCGAACTTCTAATCCAATGACATCCGTGAAGTGTATTAACATTCTCTTGCTTTCATCGCGTTCAACTTTGGTTGCGGAAAAACATTGGCTAGCGGAAGCTGTCAAGACTTTGCACTTAAATATTTCTTTGCTCACTCGGGCATCTGAACGTTCCCATGAAATGAATGATGACTGAATTGACTGCAAATGAAATTCTAAACAAGACTGTGGCAAATCATCATGAAGTTCTCTGGCTGACTGTTTTGTTATGACGGTAATGGTGTTATTTCGGTAGCTATCCTTTGCATACTGCCACAGCTCGTCAGTTAATAACATAACTTCTTCAGAGCACTGAACTTCATTTATACTTTTACACACGACATTGTCAGGAACGTTGCCTTGTGCCGGTGAATCCTCGGTTATCACACCCTAAAAGAAGTAAGTAAATTTGTCACTGAACGCTTTTGATTTGTATCCATTCTTTTAGTACTTACTGGTAACCGTATCTCGGGCATTATGGTAACACAAGGTTTTGAAGATCAATATAGAATTTAAGCTTATATTTTTAGTTTTCAATGAGGCCTCCATGCCTCCATTGCAACATTTTTTGTTCCATCCTCCAGGCTTAGGCCTTGGTGTTTACATTTTTAATAAATTAACAAGGATGATTTTTGTCTCGTATCTGTTCTTGTACTTAAATTCTTGTATAGTTAGCCTTACCTTGTACATTTCGAATTCATTGTCATCGTCGTTTCGAGCTTCATCCTCCATTTTTTCAGGTACATTTTCTTCACGGTTCAATTCAATTTTCTCAGTAAAGGGCAGATTCTTATGGTAAAAAAGGAAATGGCAAAAATAGTAACTTTCAGCTTTTAATCTTCACCAAGTATATTTTTTTAAAATGAGAAAGTGGATTTTTTTCTGCCAGTGAAGATCTTATAGTTTAAAAATTTGCTTCAGTATTTCTTACAACTTTTAGCTGGAAATGTGCCACCAACAAATTCTAGGAAATATGTTTTAGCATAGCATTAAAGATAGGCTTCCTGGATACTTGTAGAATATTATTGCATGCCAAGTGTGTACTTAGATAAGATAGATTTACTTTTTTTGCTGAATTTCCCTGGAATTATTGGAATTAATGATTTTATCAGAAATGATTAAAATTACGTCTGACTTTTAAACTAAAAAAATTATGTGATTACCATTTTTTTTGTCCCATAGTTTCCCTGTTCTTGAGCCTGTCGTTTTCTTTCAACCTTTGTAGAGGATGACTTTTGTGGAGTTGTTTCTCTACATATTAACTCAAACACTTCATTTGCAAATTGCTGCTGGATGACTTGTTTTTGATACTGGTGCTTTGAAATGGGACCATTTCGTCCTCCAGAAAATAGCAAGGAATTCTTTTTATTTTGTTTATGTGCTGTCTCCATGATACCGTCATTAAAATTTGCCAGAGTTATTGGAAGACCAATGATGTCAGAATCTGAAAGGGCCTTCTCCACATAATACGGAACATAGGTAACAATCTGCTTTAGTGACGCAGTGATGTTTGCAGTTCCAAATATTTGCACTGCTTGGAACCCAAGCTGGATGCGGGCCTGAACTTCATAATCATCACCTGTCAATTCATGTGGTGTCAGGAGAAGGTTTTTGTACACACCGTCAAGACCTTTGCAAAATGTACAAAGGATTTCTAAAAGAGTTCCCTTAAAACCAGCTGCTTTTAAGATTTCAGGCATTCTTTCTGCAAAGGCTAGAACACCTACTTCATCGAACTTGACTGTTTTGTCATCAACGTTTACAGACTTGGCCAATCCTTTTTTGAGTGCTAACAAAAATTGCTGATCACTACCAAGAACAGCTATAACAAAATAAATGTGGATTTATGATGAGAAAGGCTTCAAAAAGTAAAGAAAGAGTCAATTTAGTTTTGGCCAAAGTAACTAGCATCTACATGCCAGAATATTATTTTTTGCTATTTGTTGTCCCACAACTGGACCTGTTAATATTAATTAATGAGCTGGGGTATAGAATTTATTCACCAGTAAAATATCAGGCAAGGTTTTTGCACAAACACACCTAAAGATCATTGTTGCTATGGGTACAGAATAAAATTACACCTTTTGCAGAAAAAAAAAGGAAAGTGAAAGGTTTTGGTATTTCATAGCTGTTCAAATAATACACAAAACATTATATGGCTGCTAGGGGATAAGAAATTTCTCTTCTTTTGTTGAAAAAATATTTTCCAACAGTAATACTCCCTTGTTTCTCTACCTGGGCATGTAATAAAAATACCCCCTAATTATGTCTTCCCTTTTCCTCACATGCTAAAAATATGCAAGATGATGTGTGGTTGGCAGTTTCCTCTGATGTTGTGATCTTTTTTGACTCACTTGCTGATCACTTAAAACATTTTGGCAGGTTAAGAAGGGTGCCCTTATGTGCCTATAATTTTGTATTTCTTTGCTTCAAAGGGTACAACAGTAATAATTATTATTACCTTTTTTTGTTAAATAAATTCAGGCAGAGGATGTTACACTGCAAAAATTATAGTACTTTTGAATCGGACAGCTCAAGAGAGATTAAAAAGAAAATAAAAAATTTACATATATAAGCATATATCAGTTTAAGGTGACTGTTAAGATGTAGCTCTAGCGTTTGCCTGTGTCGCTATGGATACAAACCTGATGCAATCTTGGCAATTCGCAAACATAATGTTTCTGCAGATCGAAAACCAAGATGGGAAGTTCCAGGGTAGTACTCAGAGAGTGGTGTTCCAGAAATATTACTACGGCCAGTATTTCCAAGATTTTGCTTAGCGAACTCCCTGTGTTTTTCTTTGCTAGGGGCTTTTCCTTTAAGTTCGCTTTGGAATTTAGTCTCTAGAGCTTCTGTGTCTTCAACGGTCCAAACTGGACATGTACATACTAGTTTCATATCTCCCAACTGACTTTGGTGTTCTGGGGCTTCAGGGATTGGGTAGGAGGATTTTGCAGAAGAATTACCCGTTGAAGACCTCCTTTCCTTACCATCACCACAGCTCCTGCGGACAATTTTAATTTCCTTCCCACTTAATGGATGTTTAATTGTTTTCAGTTCTTTCAGCTGATCAAAAACTGCCCCTGCACATTTTTTCACTGTGTCATAATCATCACCTCCCAACCACAAAGCAACCGTCAACACTGTGCTCAGTAAATTATAAGGCTCAATAATCTTCACTCGGACACTGGTCTCTCCAGTAAAATGGCGAGACCATTTCAGCCAGGGAAAACCATCAGTGTAATCCATAATAATAATAGTGTCATTTGGTGCTGTTATAGCACTTTGCACGCCTGCTTGACTAAGAAAAAGTGTTATGTATTTTTCAACATCAACATAACCCACAACTACCTCGCCAAATTCGTTAAATTTTAGCCCAACCTTTTCAAGTAATTCTTGACGTGTATCATTGAGTTTACCGAAAATTTCATCCTTGCTGAGAATAGGGTTGATTCCCAGGACTTTTTCCAGCTTTTTCCCCAACTTGTTTCTCAAGACGTCCTGGGTGTCTTTTTGGCTAATGCCAAATTCGCCAACAATACCACAAGAAAAATCTTTGAAGGCAGGATAATAGGTTTTAAAAACCAATGGCATGAGGAATCCTCGCAAAAGGGATCCATTGTCTTGCTCCAACAACCATTCACAACAATTACTTTTGTTGTCGAGAACAAAGTCAATAAATTTCTGCTTCGGGCTTTGCAAGGTAAAAGGTAAGGATGTTTTCGAGTAAAAGAAAGTTACAAGTTCCGGAAAACGGAGACAAATTTGCTCTCTAAAAGTCACCAACTTCTGAAATACATCCCCAGACGAGGAGCTTCCTTGTAAAAAAAAGTCAACAGGCGGCACAACTTTGGTGACTCTGGGAAGAGCGAATTCTGAAATTTCTTCATCAGTCAAATGTGACATCAGCTCACGAACTCTTTGTCTCCTCGAATAAGGCTGTTCTTCGCTTAAAAACGTCTCGCTTATCTCCTTTGTTGAAATTCGCTTGTGTGAATTTTTTAGAGACTCCGGTTTATGTGTCGGATACAGCCGAAAGTGCTCGTTTAAACTTTTTTTGGTTTTATAAAATTTTTCGCAGTTCGGAGATGGACAATGCAAGCGGATGAAAGTCTCAAGTTGAACGACGTTTTCTTTTTCCTGCAGTACAAAAGCCATGCTCGGGCTGTACTGTATTTGCAAATTAGCGACCAAACATCAAAAGGGTTTTTAAATGGCATAGTTTGTAACATTGCTTTGAAAAAGCCCGCCAAAAATGTGCCACCCGGGACAAAGTGGATGAGTTGAGCGAGCGTTTGATCGAACTCAACTTTCCTCGTGCTCGCTAATACAATCAAAATATAAAAAAAATCTGACTAAATAGCGACACACAAAAAACAACGATAAACACGATATCTTTAATACTAGCTATACATACAATATATACCGTTAATAGAAAATAACAGTATAAAACAAGGTGAGAAATTATCTTCATGCTTACAAGTTGGAATCCATGATTCGAAATTGCACTTTTCACACATCGCTTTCTTTTGAGTTTAAAACCAACCTGCTGCCCCACGAGACTTTTCATCCGTTCATATAAATACTTCCTATATTTCTGGTACCAATTTGAGTTCGAAACGCGGTATAAGGTTGGAAAGAACCCAAAATTCATCGATGAACGCTACTCGCACCACATTTGACCGACATGGTGGACAAAAACAAAACTTGCGAATGCGCGCGCGCTGTTTCATGGGATACGGCATTAAAATTTTCTCCCCAGCCCTCCGCAATGACGTCACCAGATCGCCTGGTTCAGATTAATTTACTTGTTCTCGGTTAAAACATTTTTTTGGATTTAGTTTAATCAATTGAAAGGAATGAATTTGAAATGATACTTTGAATCTGCTAAAGTTTGTGATTTGTTTTCAAAAGTAAATCTCGTGTTTTGTCGAGTATAAAAATGACAAAGAAAGGAAAATGGCGAAAGGCAAGAGCTGAGTAGAAATAAACTGTAAACAAAGAATAAAGAAACAAATTGCGATCAAATTGGAAAACTTACGTGGTATTCTGACAGCAGTTCAGTGTTGTTGCCGCGCTGCTTGCTGGCTGATGACAGATCCATCACCTGCTGTGGAGTCATCTTCACACCGTGAAGCTGCAGTGTCTTCAGGTGAGGAGCGCAGCTGAGATGTTTAATCAAGCTGTCTACTCCTGCACCTGGAAGAGGATTCCATGACATGTTGAGCCTCTCCAAGTTTGGTGCTTTTTTAAATAAACTGTTGATAAACTCCACACCAGGTGACGATGTTACATTGATATGACAGAGTGCTAAGTCCTTTAGTTTGTGTGTTACTTGGATGCTCCTCAGTAGAGACTCTGTTACCTCAGCATCGCACACTTCACCGAGTTCACCCCACATCACTATCCCGTGTGGAGCGGTGATAAACGGCATCATCTCACTCATCAGTTCCACTTCTGACCTGTTCACAGGCCAAGCTTTAATCCTCCGAACCCTGGAGAGACCATGACGCTTTGAACAACAGCTGCTGCTGCTCTCTTCACTTGACTCATCACCATTCATGTTTGTCTTCTTTGTTGTCTCTTGTTTACTTATTAGCGCCTTTATTATATCACAAGGAAAAGGAATGTCGTCTTCAAATTCATTTTCATAAATTGTATAAATTGTACCTAAATAAAGGTGAGTGTTGTTTTCTTCTTTCTTTAAAAAAAATTCATCAATCTGACGCCATGTTGAGTTGCTTAAAAATTCTGATGCTTCCTTTTCTCCTGCAGAGCTAACAATAACTGCGTTTAATTGTTGTAATAAAATTATAAAATTACTATAGTCCTGCTCTGTATAATTGTATTCATCAAAAAAAACGTAGTTGGGTGTTTCGGTAGTTTGAGCTAATTTTTCCTGTACGATAACATTTAGCTCCTTTTTACCAATTACAAGAACTCCTCCTAAAGAGGAAAGAAATGTAGGAAAGAGGTTTTTTCTTGTCTTAGCCGAGCGGTTGAAAAATAACTGATTACAAAGATTAATAAAATTTCTTTGTTCTTTTGACAAGTCCCAGTGTGACGGTGTTTCGTTGTCGAAGCGAAACTCTGTCAGTTCTTCTTTCTTCGCCGCCATTCCAAGTTGAATCAGAATGTCGCGCGCGGCTTCTTCTGACAACTCAACAGCAAATTTGAGCGCTTCATTTATTTTAAAGATCTTTTCAACTGAGTCCACTTTTGACAGGGAATTGGTGCCTTCAGCCTTTTTAGATGTCAGCTCTTCTTTCAGGAAATTCCCAGCCAGGTATTCTTGAACGGATTTGTGAATAAAGTACACGCCTTTTTCAGGATTCAAACTCGCCATATTTAAAACCTGAAAAAGGCCGACTTCAATCAGCCTCTCGAACAAACTGTAGCCAGCAGGTAACTGACTAACAGGGAAATAAAGCTGGCCTTGCAAAAGGGCTTCATAGGCCAAGCGTCCTAATGCGTATAATTCATCTGAGTAATCTTTGACAACCACTGATTCAGCAGGCTGTTTTTCACGCAAATGATCAAACAAAGTCTTAACAAACTGGGCGAAGATGTCTGCGCGTTCCTTTGGTAGTTCTTCGCGTTTTGTTTTTGTCCAGAGCAAGCACAACATTAACAACAAAAGGGGAATTTGTGCTAGTTTGCTTAGGTCGTGCTCCTCCAAGTATTCAAAAAACTCTCCAACATCTTGATCATCTTTCAAAAATCTACCAGCGAACTCTTTTTGGCGATGATGATTAAAGCCGTCAATTTTGAATTGAGCATCACTACAATTTCTCAACGTCTCAGCTTTCATTTCCCTTGAAGTAATTACAACACAACATTCTCTTAATTGACTTTTTTTCCAGATTTTGAAGACAGGCGACTCATTTTTTGAATCGTAAACATACTCATCGTAACCGTCCAAGATAAGCAAGACTTTTTCTTGATGGCCACAAACGTAATCATACAGCTTGTCTACGGAAATTGCACCTTTACTATCCAGCACTTCAGAAGCACCCAGAATGGACGGAACATCTTGAAGATTACTAACGTCACGTAATCTCACCAGAAGGACAAGATCAAATTCTCCTAATGTTTCTGAATATCTCTGCTGGGACCAGTCAAAAGTTACTTTCTTCGTGAAAGCGGTCTTGCCGATACCTAGGTGACAATAACAACAAACTGTCAATACGTCTTCAACAGATTTGTTTTACTTTTATAATGTGAATTAAGAGAATTTTTTTATTTTAATTTTTTTTTTTTACGGAATTATGTTGAAACTTTTTATCTCAGGTTTCTATTTCTTATTATCAAAAGCAGTTTCTTGGATAATTTTCTGTATTCTTTTTAGAGTATATAATCATCAAATTGTAGACAAAAAGAATTAAACTGAATTTGCTTTTGAAGCTTTCATACCTGAATTTAAATTTCGCATTAACCCTGGGTTATCCTAACCCGGCTTTGAACAACCCGGCCCTAAATACTCTGTGTATGAAGGATTCATTTCCATTGTCTTTATCATGAATAATTTTGAATATGTAAATGAGATACCATTATCGATGAATGTAAACTCCAGTCTTTTAAAGCTAAGAATTTCAAAATGCCCCCTTAGAGGCAGGGAAACTTATTTTCAGCATAACTTTAGAGGCAAGGGCCACCCATATAAATATGTTGTTCACTCTGCATATACATATGGCTTAAAATTTAACCCCTGGACCGAGTTGTGCAAAGCTGGGTTAAGAAAATCCGGGTTAGTGCGAGATTTGAATTCAGATATGAAAGCTTAAAAAGCATTTCAGTTTTAATTCTTTTTGTCTACAAGTTGATGATTGGAAGCTAAAAAATAACAGAGAAAATTATCCAAGAAAATGCTTTTGAACACAGAAAAAGAATCCCGGGTTAAGCGCTAATCGGCCTTTGAACAACTGGGCCCAGGTTAGTGCACGCAATTCGGCCTTCAAACAACTGGGCCAATCAGCCAGTCATTAGTCCGCTATTGTGAAGGTTGCGGTGCAATTTTATCCTTGGAAGACTTTTTATTTTAGTTTTATCCTTTTACCATACATTATAATGAACTTGAATTTCAGATAAAATTGAGCCAAATATTATTACCATTATTACAACATTAACTGGAGCCTACATTGTATGCCTGATTGCTCTAATGCCAATTAAATATGTTGTTTATTAACAGACCAGTTAACTGGAAAACTTCGTTTAAACTTTTAATTTGTTCATAATAACAACAGACCAAACTTTCCATTGGGTTTGACAGCATCGTAAAAAATTACCCCACTTGGAAATGTACATGTCAGCAAAACACTCAAGAAAACTGAACATCACCAGCTGATAAATCGCTGGATTAATTATGCCAGTAGACTAATGGTTTCTGTGTTCTTCCAATTCTTACTCAGTTAACTCCATTACCTGGCTGTCCATAAACCAAAATTCGCTTTAGCACAGGACGAGGGCCTCTACTGCCAAAAATCTCAGTGTAGTGGTTAAGTTTCGCTTGCGTTACTCCTCTGGGTGTCCTGTGATCCTTGACCCAAGACAAGTCTGTGTAGATCTCATCAATATCAACAGCAGAGTTCTGGTCCCATGGAATGATTTTGACTTTGCTACTGGTTTCATAAAGTGATCGCAGCTGTTTCTGGCACTCCTCAAGGCATACAGCATCTGTTAACAAAGATGTTTTGTCAATTCCAAGAAGTTTTTTTCAATAATTTATAATAGTTGATTGAGTTGATTAGCAACCCTTACCAGGAGGGGCAGACAGTCAATTTACAAAAATTAATAAGAGAAAACAGCAGGTGGATGAATGATTGCCAAAAATAAATATTAGGTACAGCAAAGAAATGCTCAGGAAAAAAAATCCAAAACCTTAACAGGAATCAAACCCACAACCTTCCAGATACTGGTAGGTTGCTCTAACCACTGAGCTATGGGTGACTCATATGGTGAGCAGGTCATAGGTTTTTATTTTGTTGAGGTAGCATAGGTGGGTGGGTGGGTGGGTGGATAGATTGAGACTAAATAATACCAAAACATCTTTTTCAATTTTGTGGATTTCCTTAGACAGTTCCTAAATTATTGAAATAATTCAAACACAGCTGAAACAAAGACAAGAATGTTTTCAAGAAGTTTCATTTCCCATCTGCTCGTCCTTCAAAATATTTGACATGATGCTAAATGTTTTCCCAAGAACATGTCTCACCAAAAAGAAACCTTGTTAAATCCCCATGATAAGACAAAAATGGGGCATGGAAAGTGATAGAAGTATATAGAGAGGAGAGAAAGCAACAGGCAAAAGTTCAGGGGGCTGTGTCACTTTTCAAAACAACACTTATATTAATTTTATTTTAGCATAAGGAACAAAAGGTAGCGTATAGTGTTGGACTTGCAGCATTTTGGAAAATTTTGGCTGATCTTGTTGGCCAGATAGGGATCAGAAAATGGATAAAAAATGAGCTTCCAACAACATTTTACAGCAAAATTTCCAGATAGAAAAAGGGGTTATAAAACACCAGGTAAAAATAAAAATTAGACTGCTCTCTTGGCAAAGACATATCTCACAATAATAAGAGAAAACTGTGCTCTAGAATTTGAAAGATTAGTGTTATTTCTACTGAAACCAGTGTTCATCAATCATTCAATCTGGAAGGGCATGTTTAAAACACAAAATGCCAAAATGATGAAATGAAAAAATGACAAAATGACGAATTAGCAAAATGACTAAAATTATTTAGAAATAATACATATAATTTTTTCTTTACTACTAATCCTCCCTACTATTCTAGTTTAGGTAGAGTTGTCACATGCACTCCACAAAAATTGCACAGCGATTTTTACGCAGCCATAATCTGATTTAAGGCCCTGGTGACGAGATTGTTGTCACACAGAGCTTGTGTGATACGCACGCAAGCTCATCACACGCGCCGAAAATACCGTGAAATTCCGAAAATAAGCCCCTCCATGTATAAGCCCCTCCAAATATAACGCCCCCAAACTTGTGGTGCAAAAAAACCCTTCGTTAAATTGCCCCTCCAAATATAAGACCCCTGGGGGCTTGTACTTGGAAATTGCCCTCAAATACAAAGTAAAACAAAGCAAAACAGCAGCGTGCAAAGAAAGTCGTGTCCGATAGCCCGGGGCTAGTGGACTTTGCTATTGGGCTAGTGACTTTTGTTCTTAACTTGCCCGACGGGCATTAGTGCTGTTTTTTGGGGAAATTCGCATTACAGAAGGATTGTAACCAATCCTGCTAATCAAAAAGGGTTGGGGCTAGTTGAAATGACTTCTGGGCTAGTACATGCTAGCTACAGCTTGCCCGAATGGCAGGTTGTAAAACTGCCTTTCTTTACACCCTGAAAACGGTAAATTAATCCTTCCAGCTATAAGGCTAACCCAATCTATTTTGAAACACAAATTTCCCTCCGTAGATAAGCCCTTCCGAATATATGACCATCCAAAAATAAGCCCCTCAAAAAGGGCCTTTGAAAAATATAAACCCCAGGGCATATTTTCGGAATTTTACGGTACCTCATCCGTGGAGAAACATATGTGAAGATGAAGGAGTAAAAAGTCCAAAGTCAAAACAACTTGCTAGCAGTTTTACAAGTACAAATAAACAGGGTAAATAATTTTGTGTAAGTCTGACCTTAATATTATGAATAGGGTATTAATACCAGTGCACGGTTGATCTGATTTGCTTGATGATATTTGTTTGCACTCCAAGTATACAAAAGCAATATAACTCTAATGTGAATTTGCTTAATTGCAATTGCCAATAAATGGCTTAAAAACAAGACGGCGTGCATTTTGTTCTTTGTCCTAAACAATATGTAATAAAAGTGAGGGTTTCTTTTGTCCTAAACTGGGTCAGGTTTCAAACCCTCAGAGGCTCACTTATACCCAAATATTGTTCAAGTAACCCCCCTCTCCTTCCCCTGGGGGGCAGAAACTAACACCACTTTGAAAACCAAGAAGCCATAGGAAGAGGAGATCAGAGGCCCTTAGAACAAGAAAGATCATGTGACTGCGATAAGTCACAAACAGAAAGTGACAAAACCAAGATTAGTGAGGCTTATTTTGCATGCTGAGCATATAGTTTTGCCAGTTCATAGAAGGCAAAGAAAAAAATAACAACTGGACACAACAACAAAAAACAGGGAGTTATTTGTTTTTACTGTTTAGGAAAGTCATTTTGCCATTTCGTGTTTTAAACACGCCCTAATCTGAAAATGCTCCTGGATATTAAGTGTAATAATTCATTAACAGGATAGTACCTGGTATCTGTTTGTCTGGCTTTGTGGTTGTCTCTGGCTGATTCTTTGCTGTCAAGTCTGTGTAGAAGAAAAGTATTATAAATTTGAAAAGCCCCTAAAAACAAATTGTTCTTTTGGCCTTTGTTATTTGGTATTTTTATAATATTAATGTATGATTTGAGTTTGAAACAGAGAGAAAAATTTGAACCCAGGTTATATAATATTGAGACAGTTTACACAAAAATATCTGAACAGAAAATTCATCACTATTAATAATCAATCACTAGAACAGGGAATGTGACATACCTTCATAGTGAGGCCATTCTTTAAAAACAACAGGATCATTTAACATGTTGGACACAAGAGAAGCTGCCATGACAGAAGCAAATGACTTCCAGGACTCATCAGAAGTGTTGCTATCATCAGAAAAATGTGATATCCCTTTAACAATCACCCATTCAATGTTCATATCATGGGCTGCTGCAAACAGTCCTGTATTAGTGGAAAGAAAAAACAGATCAGTCATGATGATCCTTATTCAATCCACTGTGAACAAGAATCTAGCACAGCTAATTAGCTCAGAATTTTTTGCTACAGAGTAGTGACTGAAATTTATAATCTTTTAATTAAGCTCAATAATAATTTACGTTCCTGGCACAATAATAATATAATAAACTACACCCCACAATAACCTAATCACACTGTCACAGGGTTGTCAAAAGTAGCCGGCTGCCAGCAAAAATCACCGCCTACTTGGTTAGTATCAGCCGGCTACTCTGCTTCGCATTTCTTTAAGGATGGCAATTTTAAATAAAATATCCCTAGGCTGGCCGCTTACTTTGATAACTCAGCCGTCTACTTCAAAACGTTAACCCTGTTGTCACCATTGTGGTCCCATAGTCAAACATGATTGGCAATTTAGGTACCGTACAGTATTGCCATTGCATGATCACAAGCTGCTTCTGAGGGACAATTTAGAGTTTTAGATCTCAAATCAAATGTTACATCAAATTGTTATAATTAATAGTAATATGCATATAATCTTACCTTCCCCTTCTCTTTCAACTGCAATCACATGCGACTGAGACATACGGCGTTGTTTGGTGATGAATTGACTACCACTGAATATTTCACTGTCACGGTGTACCTGTACTGTTTCTTCCCCGACTGGATCTTTTAATGGTGGCTTCCAGCCTTCAGTTACAAACAAGTTAAGGTTGCCAATATTTCTTCTTACTGGAGTTGTGAATTCTTTAGTTGACAGTTTAGAGGATACCACTACATCTCCTAGCTTAGTGTCTTTTGATTTTAAACCCATGCATCCACCAACAGAAAAAGCAGCCTTGGGTCTCAGTTTCATCACTGCATTTTTAATAACATTTTGAGAGCCACCTGGACCAGAAGAACCTTTATAACATCTCATCAAAGCAACTTTCAGTGCCTCTTCTCCACTTTCACCCATGGTCCCAAAGTACACATATCCCAGGGTTGGGTCATAACTTTTAAAAGAATTTTCCAAGAAAGTATAACAAGCTAAGAACTCACAGTCTTCGACTGTCAACAAAAGAATGTCAACAGGAAGCTGGTCATCACTCCAAGGGTTTGACTTGTTTGGAAGATCACTCATTTTAGGCACTTCAATACTTAGAGGAGGAGGGGCATGATTTCTTGACATCTGATGACCAGGATCAGCACCTCCCTTTCTTTTTAGGTCTTGATGCTGCGCCATTGAGTCTCAGTTAAAGATGTCCCTAAAGAGTATAAATTTAATTTGATACCATCACCACATTAAATAACTTCAAGAACTTGTTTATAATAAATTTCCTTTTTATGTCACAGCTATATTTTTAAGGGTCAAACCTTTTTATTATATTAGTGGACACCACTGTACGGTGACCACGAGAAGTGTGTACCTACAGGTAATAGATCAAGGTGTTCACCTCACAAAGGTGAAATGCAGATTTTGTAAATGCCTTGGTCCATGACTAGTTAGTGTCTACTTTTAGAAGAGGCTGTCCATCCACTTCACAAAGGTCAATATATGCAAACAGTGTTTGTGACTTCATGGGTCCACAACTAAGTTCTTCCTGTGGAAAGGGTTCCATTTCACAAAGGTCAGTTAATTATGCAGTGTTTGTGAGTTGCAGGGCCAAGCAATTGTGAGAGATTCCCATGCAATTAAAGGAAGGTCACCCAAAAATTAAGTATTAGTGACTGGGACCTATGACTAAGTCTAATGCTTAGAGGAGAGTTGAACCATTACTAGCAAAGGATTGACTGTACCATGTTACAAAAAATTGTATTGTGTGACTAGCGTGACTTTCTAGAAGCAGCTTCACAAGAGTTCACAGTTTGTTTATTTTAGGTTCTTGTGTAAGTGTTTCTAAAGCGCTATATTTTGTAATCTTTCTATAATTAGACTAATTAGAAAGTTCTAGAATCTTATTGTGAATTAAAGTATATAAGTAGGCGAGTCCGAGCAAAGGTAATTTCACTAGAGTTTCACAAGCAAAGAGAGTTTGACATTTGTCATGTTTCGTCAAGTGCGACAGAGGCAGTGTTTATTCAAGTTGGCGGAGGCCATGTAAGTTTATTGAGTTATGTGTTGTTGTAGAATTTTATCTCATGGAAACTACTTTCATTTTTTTGAATAAATCTTCTTGTTTGCTGTTCTGACAACCCTGCGTTCAGTTTAGTTTGCAAGCTCCCCATCCTCTAAAAGATTACCCACGTAACAGAGGTTCATACAAATAGTGATTGAGGTATACACCAGCATTATGCATGAAATGTTTGGAATGTTGACAGTTTCTGGCCTGTACCATTCTACTGTGAACTGTAATCAATAGTATATATTTAATGAATGCATCTAAATTAAAAGTAAGGTAATGGTATGATACCCTATAGTGATGCAAGAAAGCTTTACAATCTTTAAATTAACCCCCTCTGCCTTTATCATTTTACTGCAAATATCAACTTAATAAACTCACCTAAATTACCTTCTCCTTTGATAGCTTCACACCATGCATCTAACTTATTGTATGTGTTTCATATTCAACTGACATGAATCCTGAAATTAATAAAAAGATGGTAAAGATGACGTCAAAATATGAGATACAATCCTATTTTGAAGCCATGCAAATTATTTACTACAACAACACAATGCATTACCCATGGGGGAGGGCCTGGGGTACTCAACAAAGTTAGACAAGACAAGACAAGACAAGACAATGCTTTATTTGGAGTCTTATACAGTCCTATGTACATCGACTTTATCCAAATAACTTAAAATTATAACACAAATTGCACACTAGTGGAACTATATATAATCAGTGTTAACCTAAACAACTAATGATCTTCTTCTCTCATAGCAGTCGAATACATATTTTGCAATTAGCTTTTACACTGGTTTGTTCTTGCTTGGAGGGTTTATTAACAACAGAAAAACATCATCTGGTGCCATTCTCTTTACTTATATTCTGTATTCTTTGTTTAAGTATTCAAATAAAGTACTTCTTTTTTCTTGATACGCAGGGCACAGAGTTAAAAAGTGTATTTCGTCTTCTAAGTCTTTTTTACAGATAGGACAGATCCTCTCTTCCGGTTTCTTATGAGGTCTTATATACAGGGAGGCTCCGCCCTGAGGTCTAACCCCTTACCCAGCTATGAAATACCATTCTGACAGAAAAGGTAGCCCTTTCGTCTACCTTCTATTGACAAAATATGGTACCCCTTTCACATACCTAGTTTAGAACTTTGTATCCCTTTTTAACTGCTGATAAGGCACTTTAAGCAATTAGGTCCAATGATCCACACAATTGGGTCTGCTTTAAAAGAATGCATAACAATTAATCAATGCTGAAATCAAACAGGCTCACAAATAATTTGTTAAATAATTATTATCTTATAAAGATAAATTTAGCGAATCTGATGGCGACCCGCATAAAACGTGGCAGGTCATCAATGACCTTACTTCTCATAAATCCAGCAGGTCAATCTGGTAAGGAATTAAGTCTGAATGGAGACGTTTCTATAACCAATTCAACCGCTTTGTCAAACGCTTTCAATGATCACTTTTCTACAATTACAGCTTGAGAAATAACCCAATTTTCGGGAATTTAAATATCTCTGGCCTTTAAAGTGAAAGATTCCAAATTCATCCCCACTGATAGTAATCAGGTGTTGTCTCTTTTTTAAAAACCGGATAAATCTAAAGGTGCTAGTCCAGATGGAATATCTAGTCAGCTTATAGATTTAATTGCACCTCATATTATTTCAATTACATTTAATAGTTCTTTAGCTAATGGTATATTTCTTGAGGATTGGAAGTCCGCAAAGGTTACTCCTCTATTCAAGTAAGCGGCAAAAGAAGCGACATTAGACAATTATTGTCCAATATCAGTTATCTCTATAATTGGCAAAGTATTTGAAAGAATTATCTATTATCAACTTTTTGCCAATTTAGCAGATCATAATATTTTGTCTAAGTACCAATCCAGAATCCATGTGCTCCGGTAGTAATATAGCCTTATTAGAGGCCTGTAATATTGATATAGGTAACATGAATGCTGTTGCTTTTCTTGACTTTAAGGAAGCGTTTGACACAGTCGATCATGATGTCCTATTGTCTAAATTACATCTTTATAGTATATCAGGTGTTACCCATAAATGTTTTTCCTCTTAATTGGATAATCATACTCAAATGTCTTGTCAATGGTTCCCTTTCAGACTGACTTGCACCCTCATGTGTGGTATTCTCCAAGGAACAACATTAGGGCCTCTACTGTTTTTGCTATATATCAATGATTTGCCCAATTGTCTGTTTCATTTTGCACAAAGAATTTATATTGATGATACCCATCTGACTTATTTGAATGGCAATATCCACTCCATTCAGTCTTTCCTGAATGAAGACTTGCTCAACATTAAATGCTGGCTTATTGCAAATATATTAATGTTATCTATATGACTAAAACTGAATTTAAATTAAACAGCTCAAGGCAAAAGCTTAATAATTTACCTTCTCTGCCTTCCTTAAATATAAGTTTTGTTCCAATCTGAACATTCCAATTCCTCTAAGTCTCTTGGCATGCTTATTGATGAAAATCTAACATGCAAAAACCATGTTGACACTGTAGTACACTACATTAAAGAAAATTGCGTCTGCTAACGCATCAATCATTGTTTGCCCCCTGCTGCCTTACATGCTGTCTATTACGACCGCCAATCACATTTTGACAACTGCAGCGTGCTATAGGGTAGCTCGCGCGCCTATAGGGTATTGACCACAACCTCCTCCTATAGGCCATTACAGGGAGTACCCCCACCCCCCTGCCCCAAGGGGAAACTGCCCAAAATAATTATCTGGTTCAGAGATATATCATATCTACATCAGTAGACTAATAGTAGAAGTCACAGAGAATGTAAACTTACTTTCAGGAGCACAACTTTAATCTTGTGTTATCAGGGGGTGACATCTTCAGTATCTTGGTAACCGATCTACAAAACTGAAAATATCATGCACTTAACACCTTTTTACGTATAAACGGGTGATTTTCAATATTTCTGATTCAACCTCAAATAACACAAGTCAGATCCCTGCAGTTACTTCTTCTCCTCTTGCCTTTTTGTTTGACCTACATTTCACTACGATTCCACGATTTGTCTGAAAGAGATATCAAATGGTCTTTGCGAACATAATTTGGCTAAGACTTGTCTGCGAGCATCAAACAAAAAGAAAAAAATTTTCCACCAGCAACAACCTTTTCATTTACAAGAAAATGCCTATTAATAAAAGTCATCTTAATAAGATTAAGCTTACCTTTCCCAGATGACCGACGTTGATTTCACTGAGTGGACATCAAGATCACATTCATGTGATCAGTGCACACGACAGTGACACGATCTGGAAGAAAGAATGTAGTTCCTTATAAATAATCAGCTATATTGTTAGCTAGACAAACTGTAAATGTTAACCAAAGGGAGAAAGACCTGAACATCTTTTACTTTACTTTCCTTCACAACTTACGTGTAAATCAGGGAGGGAAACTTACCTTACAAACAGACTGAAACACAACACTTTTGAAGCCTGGATGTCTTCGGAAAGAATTCGGAAATCTTCACTTCGAATAGCCCCAGTGCCCGCTCGGTTAACCTGAAAAATGACTTATTTGAGCGGCGTGCGCAGAATCTGGTGCATTTTTGCAAAAAAGCTGTTCAGAAAGCTCTCTCTTGTCAATTTATGCAAGAGGTCCTTGAACTCCCGTCCTCGATACTTCAAACTTTCTGTGAAAGTTTACAATAATTCTTATATCAGGAAAAATGAGAAGCGGTTTTTAAATACAACTTTCATATAATTGGTGCTGAACCTGGAAATCACTCGATTTAAGGAGCGCTGCAATGGTTAGACTGCTTCCATTATCTTCTTTCTCTGTATCAGTTTCATCTTAAGAAATTAAGCAGTTTATATCAAAAGAGCTTTATCCTCACTTGGTTTTCGTGGTTTATATCTATCATTGAACTCTTGAGGACAATTGAACCTATGCGCTTATGTCAGATGGAATGACTCTCGAACGACGTTACAATGAAACACATGATTCTATTTATATAAAGCGTCAGCCCCGGTAATACACTTTAACGAGTTTTATACTGACCCGATCGAGTTTTTTTAATCCGTTAGTTTGTTAACTACTCTTCTCTTGACACTGAAAAATTTTGCATCTTGAACGTAAT